TCCCCATTTCGGGAATCCAGAACAACCCCAGTATCTATGAGGCACAGACTGGAGAGATGAGAGGAGCAAGAGGCGAAGCGCCCGAGAAAAAGAGGACGCGGAACACCAGCACTTGTGTACACCGTCAATAACAAAATAATTCCTACCGCGCATGCGCCGGGCACAAGAGGTCTGGACTGCACAACCCACTCAACGGGGAAGGCACCAACTAGGAGTAATTTAAGGAAAATGAGCAGTGCCGAGACAGAGCACGGAGAGAAGATATAATTACAAAAAAAAAAACGGTACCGAAAACCAAGAAGCACAGAAGAGGACCAACGAGCCCTAGAAAGGACTGGAGGTAAGCCTCATCGAAAGACGACAGATGTTCCAACAATACGGGAAGAAGCGAAGACCTTCCCGAACCTTCGAGAACCCATAGAATCGAGCACAAACCCACGAAGGCTCATAAAGGCACAGTTGCACCCGAGACCAAAAGTCATGTAGAACCCCGAGAAGAGGGGAACATGACCCCAGCATAATAGAGAAGTCCTGTCCCAGAGAAGAAGGGCAAGTAAACGGAGAAGAGTACCCAGCAATAGGACGGAACCAACGGACCCAGAGGGACAAGGAACCGAACCAGGAGAGGGGCCAACGCCCAATAACTCGTACGCAGAGGAGGGAAAGGAAAAAAAACCACTCCCCGTAACCGCAAGCCTCGCTCAGAGGGTAGAAAACCCCGGCGGGGTCAAACGGGGCCCAAGGCCCCCCCCAAGTCAGCCCCTCTCCAGCCCCAGGAACCTACATGGCAGGCCCTGGGGCCGAACCACCCTCCCCCAAAGCCCCAGCCCCACAAGAAAAAGCTGGGGGCAGCCAGAAAATTACTAAGGAAGGGAGCCTACTGGCAGACTCATACAACACGGCTGGAGGAACAGGCTCGAATGCCTCCGTTGCTACCCCAGAAGGGGAAATAAACGAGATCGCCCGAGTCTCAAGACCATCGAAGCCCTGCCCCGAACCCACAGACAGTCAGGATCCAGATGCAGGGAGAAAAAGGAACGTGGGGGGAACAAACAAAATCACAACAGGGGAAAGACAAGGGAGTGCAAACGGAAACAAAACCAAAGCAACCAACACCCCTAAGCCTCGTCACAACAACCAAAACGGGACAGCCTCGGGGCTTCCGGGGAGCAAACAACCCAGTGTGTTACAACCACCTGAACCCAACGCGCAACGCCCGTGCTGCCTGCACCCGCATAGTCAGCATAAGACTGGGTAACCGAGTCTCAAACAAGCAACAAAACTCGCAGGACTTGGGGTCAAAGGTGCCACTGACCCCACAGGCAGCAGACGGAGGCTAAAAAGTGAGAGTCACCTGGAGACAAGGGGACAGAGCAACCCTTGAACTCGCACAAAGCATGGGGGGACTCAGGGGGTCACATCCATCGGACCCACGCGTCCCCATAGGAATTCCCAGGGTCCTGAGACGGAACTCGCGCTCAGCTCAGGGAAGCCCAGGCAGGGTACTGCTAACCGGCGCCCAAGTCTACCAAACAACTTTCTAAGAACTGAACCCCCGGGACGTGTAAACTCACAAGGACCTAGCAGGGGGAACCACCAGAAGAAATTAGAGTACACAGGGGGCAATAACTAAGGCACACTCCCTCCCACCCCCACCAAGCAGGCAAACAAAAAGAAAAAAAAACCCCGCAAGAGGGTCAACATACCCAGGCGGAACAGAGCCGGCTGCTATGATTGGTGAAAACAAGCTGCGCAGTACCCTGCGCCCCAACCAGTGCAAACTGCCCCCTATCCTAAGGCGAACAAGGGAGACAGAACACCCTAGCACACAAAGGGCGGCCGAAAACCAAGCAGTAAACGGCCTAGCAGAGGCAGAATCCAAGGAGCTTGTGAAAGGCAGCCCCAAACCCCAAGGGCAATACTTACTGGGCACCTACGGAAGGCAACCCTAGGCACATGCAGCCGAGTACTGGAGAATCACTCCTGGCTCACACATCACCTAGAAGACAGTCACCACACTCAAGGCACAGTGCTGAAAGAACCACTGGAGCCAGAGCACACGACTGTTGCCTATAGCATCAACCTCAGAACTGGGGTGTGGATGGCTTGGGGGTCTGAGGCTCCCTCTTCCCCCTCTCGGGGAGAGGGGGAGCTGCGCAGACGGCGGCGCAGCAACGTGTTACGTCATACTCGTTTGCTTATTTCTATTTGGGGAGTTTTATTCACTTGTTCGGCTTTTTGTTGCAATTTTCACCAGAATAGGGGTTTGTTTTGGGATGCCTACCTTTCTGGGTGCCCGGTCGATGGCAGGCAGAATGCTTCCAACTACACTGGGGTTTCTATAGGCCATTGCTCCTCGTGCCTCTGTGAAGGGGGCCAGGTTCTGGCTCGTGGTCCCCGGTAGGCCCACAGAACTCCATACACATGACTGATGCCTAAGTCTGACATTAGCATATCAGCCTGGATAGCTCCGGGGAGCCGAAGGGGCTCCCCCCCCCCCCAAAGAAAAAACAGCGTTGAATGTAATGAAATGCTATTTTCTGAGTGAGACCTGCAGGCTCCCTAGAGCTATCCGGAGTGAAATGAATGTATTAGACCATGGCATCAGTCAAAGCGAATGGAGTTCTGCCTACCGGGAACCACGAGCCAGAACCTGGCCCCCTCAGAGAGACATAAGGAGCAATGGCCTATGAAAACCCCTGTATGGTTGGAAGCATTCTATGTCTGCCATCGATTGGGTCAGGCACCCTGAAAGGTAGTCGCCCCAAAACAAACCCTATTTGGTTAAAAAAAAATGCTACTAAAATCCGAACTGTTGAGCAGAACTCCCCAAGGAAGGTGGAGCTCCTTACCCTCCTTGCACTGGCTATCCACCCCCAGTTCAGAGGCTGGATGTCAAAGACTGCGAAACCATCAACCGGAAGGAGGGAGGGTTGCCGGGAAACCTCCAGGTCTCACCCAGAAAATGGCGTTTCATTACATTCAATGCTGGTTTTCTGGGGGGGGGGGGGAGCTACTTAAACCATAGATAAAACAAGAGGGACTTACCCGGGAGACGGTCGCCACTCGCTCCTCAACTCGAAGTCAAGACAATTGGCTGCAACCACCAACTCAATGCGACACATGCCCACCTAGGGCCAGGAACATTAACTAGGTAGCAATCGGCCAGGACCCTGTTTGACCTCCAAAAGCATTGAATGCCTCCATCTCCGTCTTAAATGGGACTGACCCCCCTGATCCGCCCGAGTCTCATCACCAACTAAACCCTGCTCCAACTCCAAAACCCCTCAGACGTTTAGGAGCCAGCAGCAGGGGAGGAGCAGTAGGGCGAACCACGCCCATTGAGGAAGGACAAGAGGGGGCGAATTGAACCAATGTCAAAGCGGCCAATGCCCCCGGGTCCGGGTCCCTAAAACCAAAACGGGGCAACCCCGAGGCATCCGAGCAGGCAATCAACCTAGCCCATTGCTACAACCTATACCTACTAAGCAACGTATACGGTGCCAGACCCCAAAGAACATCTGAAGAAGAATATGTAAATTGGAGCATGAGCGGAGAGCACGATTCGCAATACTCTGGGTCGAAGGTGTCACTGACCCAACAGGCAACATGTCGGAGGCAAAACAGGCGATCGTCACCCTGAGATGAGGGCAACGAACAACCCTCAAACTTACACAAAGCGAAATGGGACTTGGAGGACGCATCCATCAGTCCACCAAGCCACGACGGGGTTTTCCAGGGCCTGTAGGGAGAACTACCTACGGGAAGCCCAGGCAACGGTGCTGCAAAGCTGGTTGAGCCTGAAAGAGGATAATGTATCAACAAAGAGGGGACTAGGCTAAATTTACAACCCTGTGAAGTGTACAAGAATGGGGGCCTAGAGGAGGGCCATCAAAAATACCCTAGGTGGACTAATAATCAAAGCAGGCTATGACTATTAGTCCACTTGCATGTTTCCATGCAAGTGGAAACACCACCTATTTCTTGCATGTTTCCATGCAAGAAACAAGAAGAAAAGAAAAACCCCGCAAAAGCACAACAAGAACAGGAGAAAAAGGAAACACTGCCGCTGCTAGGTAGGCGAGCTGTGCAGCACCTTGCGTTCAAACCAGCAACAACACTCCCTAACCAGAGCCAAACAAAAGCCACAAAACCCCAGCTGGCTCCAAGGGCGAGGTAAATGCCAAGTAGCAGGAACCCATATGGAAGTGATGTTCAAAGGCCCTAGGGAAGAGAACCCTAGAACCCAAGGGTAGTACTTACAGGCGCATAGGGAAGGCAGTCCTAAGCTCATGCAGCTCCAGTACAATACGTTACTTCTGGCCACAGTGCCACAAACAGCAAGAAATACCACAAGGGCACAAAATTCGGTAGGAAACTGAGACCAGAATTGACAACCGCTCCAGTCTCCGAACTGAAGAGTGGGCAGCCGATGTGCGGGGAGAGCTGCACGGACCAGCAGTAGCGATGGATGTAGTTTGCTTGTTCCTTTATTTTATTTTCGGTGGAGTTGTTTCTCTGTTCGGACTTTGGTTTGTAATTTCCTACCAAGTGTCTGTTTTGGAATGCCAACCATTCTGGGTGCCTAACCCCAGTTGATGGCAGACATGGAATACTCCCAAATACAAGAGGGTTTCCTTAGGTCACTGCTCCCTATGCCTCTCTGAGGGGGCCAGGTTCTGGCTCGTGATCCCCGGAAGGCAGAACTCCAGACTAATATAGTGTATACCAGTCCGATAGCTCCAGGGAGCTGACGGGGTTCCCCACAGAAAATATTAGAGTTTTCTTTTACAAACAGAGTGGTAGACGGTTGGAACAAGCTAAGTGAGATGATGGTAGAAACCAAAACCATTAGTAGTTTGAAAGCGTTATACGACAAAGAGTACTGGGAAGACAGGACACCACGAGCGTAGCTCTCATCCTGTAACTACACTTAGGTAATTATTTAAAGTGTTACAAAGCTGGGAATTAACAGCCATTGAAACATCAGTAGTATTTACATGTAAGAGGTTAGATGCAATTTGGCAGGGAGTGTGGACAAGGGAGACAGCTACAGGTTTCATGGAATTCGCACCCGAGGGAATACGGCAGGTCAGCATGTACGTCATGTCCCGTGACTTGTCCATCCATTGGTAATCTATGTATTCTGGGGAGCACATCATTCATATATTTAGCAATAATAGTAATAGAAAAACTTACTACAATTCAAGAGTGTTTGAATGAGTCAAGGAAAGACCCAAAACATGTGTAAGTGTAATAATATTAAACCTTGGACTGACAGCACCTTGATAAAAGATGTAGGTTTCATCCGAAAATTTGATTAATATTACACATACATGCTTTGAGGTCATTCCTTCACCTTCAATAATAGTAATAAGAATAACAATAATACGAGACTACCAATTTTAGCAAAATTGACAATAGTGATAACATTACAAAACATTAACCCGTTTGCTGCATCACTTCAGTTTCGCTGTCATACTTTATTTTAAATTTATGGCAACACAATAAAACCTGCGTTGAATGTAATGAAACACCATTTTCTGGGCGAGTCCCACAGGCTTCCCGGAGCTATCCAGGCTGATATGGATATAGTACAACCTTGATTCAACGTACCCCGATTCAACGAATCTCCGGCTAGTTCGCACACTTTTCAGGCCGGATTTACTCACCCGGTTCGACGAACAATGGTTCACCGAAGCACAAGATCTATGGATTTGCTTACGATGTCGAGACAAGAGTTCACAGACTGGGTGAAAACTTTCCCATTCCATCACAAATTACAATTAATAATTCTCTCATATGACAAATTCCATCACACAAGTGGACCGCACAAGTGGTCAACAAGCTTACGATGTTTGGACAAAGTTCACAGAGTAGTGGAAAACTTTCCCATTCTATCACAGATTACAGTTAATAATTCCTTCATAAGACATGTTGAATCACACAAGTGGCCTACACAACACGTGAATCATATGAACCAAACACTAGCCAGATTGGTCCACACAAGAAGTGACACATATTAACCAAACACCAGCCAGAGTGGTCCACACAAATGAACGACCGAGTTTCAATGATTTTCGTTCACTGATTTGTGACAGTCCCACACAAAACCCAGCCCAGTCCGAATCTGAGAGGGAACCAAATGGAACTTCCAGTACACCAAGAACATGAACCCGGCGAGCTGGTAAGGAACCAAATCCCTGGCGAGCAGACACGCTGATTGGCTGGAAGCCCACATCAGCCAATTGCCGAGGTAAGCCAGAAGCAACCTCGTCACCACGACCCGGTTAAGGCACATGGACACGCGAGGTGCCAGATCCAACTGGAAGGAAGACAAAGAAAGCAGTGTCACTCCATGACAAAACCGAGCCAGTCCCTGAACACCAGATGAATCGTGGACATGGTAATATGCGTCCCGGAGATCCAGAGACACCATCCAAGTGCCAAAAGCAGCCGGACCCGAGACAGAGTGGTCACCTGAAAGAAGGGGCAAAAGACCCATGGGATCATACAGGGCAAGTCCAGTATGAATCGCAGATCTGCCCAGTCCCGTTTCAGAACTGAAGACAGGCAGGAAACCCACTCCAGGATGACCTGACAGAGCGCAGGGGGAAGAGGCCGGCCCTGCAAGCCCCAATCCCCCCAAAGGAGAAAGAAAGAAGCAACGCCACTTCTGGCTGGAGAAAAAGGACCCGAATTACCCACAAATCGTGGGACTAGGCAAGAACAAACAGCACGAGCCTCCCTCCCATCGCCCCGCCAACAGGGCGAACCGTGAAAGGGCCGACGACCCCTAGGAGAGCCCGACTGAAATTCAGAGCAATCACTGAGCTAACGACTCCGTAGGAGGGCCAGTCCCAAATCTGGCACTACTGGCTTACGACAACGGAAGGAACCCTGAGACCTGGTGCGACCCTTCCGGGCAGGACCTCCATGATCCCTCCTGGAGAGCCTACAAGTCCGATATAGGCCGTCAACTAGACAAAGTCGCCTGCAGAAAATGCGAACAGCAACGGACAAAAGGGGATGAAAAGTGAGGAACCAGGGCCCAAAACGATTAAAAAATTAGGACGAGTACCGCCTGTCAGCACGCGAGACGAGAAGCCTAGAACAGACACCGCCTCCCTTAGAAACAGCGCATACACCTTCAACAAGGCAGCTGGCGCCCAAGCTGCCGAAGCAAGCACACCGGACACTGGCCCGGAACCCAGCTCTTCCACACCCACCAAGAGCCAGTCCGAAGACAGCACCCGCAAGGAAAAGAAGCGCAAGACCAAAGCCAAGTGCTCACGGGCGCCCAAATCCTCGGCCACCAGGGATGCCGAAAAGGAGGGAACCTGAACGTGAAGCCGCACTAGGCCGACATTATAAGGAAGGACGAGGGCGAACAAGCATGCATTGAGGTGCTCCAACTCGCCCCCCAGGAAACCTGAACGACCATAGTCAATTCGCCATCCAAGTGCACAGTCCGACAGGACGAATGCCAAGCCCCCAATGAAAGAAAAGGCAGTCTGCCAGCCAGGAAGACTCCGGCATCTTGCAATGCACCCTTTAAGAAAAAAGAGGAGCCAAACTCAAAAGAAGAAGGCTTCATTATCAAGGCGTAATCCGGGTCTCGCAGGAGGAAAGCCACAAGGGCCTCCCACACCTTCCTTGGTGGGATGTGGGAAGCCAAAAATCTCCAGAAGGGAACCGGAGAACCCAAGGGAACTTGGAACTGAACCCGGGGAGGAGTCGAACTCTTAACAAAATCGTACAGGGAGGGGACAGGAAAATCTCTCCCCTGTAACAACAAGACCCGTGCCGAGGGTACCAAACACCCAAGCAGGGACAAGTGGGGCCCAGGATCCCCCAAGACAACTCCCCAGCCCCGGAATCCTCCACGTCAGGACCCAGGATCGAGCCGTCCTTCAAACCCTCTGCCTCTTGAGAAAAAGCAGAGTCCACCAGAAAAGCAGGGATGAAGGGGGCCTGCTGGCGTGGCCCAAAAGCTCCGGCATGAAGACCAGGCTCAAATGCCTCCGCCGCCGATCCAGAAGGGGCAATCCCCGAAGCCGGCCAAGTCTCACTACCAGTATAATTCAGCGGGGCAGCTTTGGGGCATCCAGAAAGGCAACCAACCTCGCACGTTGCTGCAACCTAAACCTCGCATGCAACGCTAAAGCTGCCTGTACCTGAATATCGGTCTCGGTGGACTGGGTGACTGGAGTACAAGCAAAGAACACCACTCACAGGACTCCGGGTCATAGGTGTCACTGACTCTAACAGGCAGCAAGGCAGAGGCAGACAGTGAGTGTCACCTTAAGAAAAGGGGACAGAGCAACCTTCAAACTCGCACAAGGCGAGATGGGACTCGGAGGTCTCCTACATTGGACCACTGAGCCCCAAAGGGGGTTTCCAGGGCAGGGATGAAGGCTTCCCTTAGGCTGACTGCTAAGGGAAGCCCAGGCAAGGAACTGCTAACCGGTTATCCCAGAGCTACAAAGCAAACAACTAAAAACTGAACCCCTGCGACGTGTGCAAGCACGGGGACCTAGTGGAGGGCCACCAAAATCCTACAAGTGGTCCTACTATATTATGATCCCAGGTAACCGAAAAACGAGTCTCCCCTTTGAGAATTATTCTGTCAAGCCTGACCTGATTAGAAGGTCTAAGAAATATAGAGGTGAAGATACAGATGTAAAATAGTTGGTTGGATTTAATGAACGATTTGAGATCATGGGCAGTGAATAAGAAAATAGATAAATGACTAAGTTAGGAGATGTAGATATTTTGCTGGAGGTATGAGGCTCGCTTCTGGAGGGCTTTGATCTCACTTGAGGCCAGACATCGCAGGGGGAAGCTGTGCTTCGTTTGAGCTCCCTTCAGAAAGGAACCCCTAGTGATATATCTCCAAGAGAAGAGAAGTGTGCAGACGTGCCAGCTGTGGAATTGAGCTGAGAACGTTGTGGTCTTAAGTCCTGGACGGCGAGGAGTGTTTATTAAGCCGCCCAGAGACATTATCGTGGGCCGTGACAGTGCCCTGACCAGACTCTGTCAGAGGGAGGAGCGCCCTCGACCAGACAATCTGTGGCTTGTCTTTGGGGAAGAAGTTGCTGAGAACTTCGAAGCCAGTACAGAGGGAGTAGTTGATGAGACTCCAAGGTAGTGGAGGAGAGGACCTCAAGCTGTGAGGAGAAGCAGTGAAGAGGAGTGTCACGTGCTTCTGTAGAGGTGGTGAAGCACCATAGTTGCTCGAGGGAACTTCATGGTGTAGCAGCCAGGAGAGCTGTGGAGGACCCTAGCAGAAGGGTGAAGTACCATAGTTGCTTAAGGAAAACTTCATGGTAGCAGCCTGGAGGAGCTGCAGAGGATCCTGGTAGTTGAACCCGGAAGAACCTAAAGAGATCAGGGTAGTGAACTTCCAGATATGGAAGGGAAGTTCTAAATGATTACTTGTAGGGAAGTGATAGTGTTTGGTTGTCCTTAGCGTGCAAGACACAGTGAAAGGCGAGTGATTGTTTGCCGTTCTTGTGCCGAGGAGTGTCTATACTGAAGCGTAGAGTTACAGACGTAGGCTGGATTACCTACAGATGTATGTGTTCTAGGACTGATAGGGTGATCGATGGATCTTTGTTGTGTATCAAGGAACGTTTATACTGATATATATATATGTTATTGCACTCATACGCTGATTTTCCTTGTACATGTTTATAGATATATATATTCTCTTGCTGATAGTGCAACATTGTATTATAAGACTTGTCCTACTTGAGGAGGTTGATAATATTAGGTGGTGAATCAAGAGATAGAATACCACTTGATAAGCAAATGATAAGAGTTCTGATGGTGTTGGAGTGCAACCTGACTGAAATAGTGTAGAGTGTAGGATTCATTATTATTATTATATGTGTGTATGTATTGTGTATGTGCTTTGTCCAGTAAATGTATTCAAATTTGCTGGTGTTTGCCCTTGTCCTAGTGAGCCTTCCCAGGATGTAATAAAGAAGGAGAGAGAGAGAGAAAGAATCAAGAACCACCGCTATGGACAGGGTAGGATGGAAAACTAATAAGTCAAAGGGGATTGAGGAGATCGTATCACATAAGGAGAGAGTGGGGAGTCACAGCGGCTCGAGTGGGTGTGTGTACGTGACAACGAGGCTAGGTTTTTGGAGCCACATCCCCTAAATGTGTGACGTTGAGCCCCTCTCCAAGAGCCAGAAGTGCCCAGTGTGATCTCCTGGTAAAGTATAAGCACTCTACCAAGTTGTGGGTTGGGTTGTCCAGAAAGAAGGATCAACGACGACGACACCACCAACCCACACTATAATAACTATCACACAAGGCAGACCCCCACCAAGCAAAACAAAAGAAAAACTCCGCAAAAGCACAACGTCTCCAGGTGAACAGAACCAGTCGCTATGCATATATCAGACAGCTGCACAGTACCTCGTGCCCCAGCCAGCGACGAAACTACCTCCTACCCAAGGGCAAACAGGAGTAAGAACCTCCCCAACTGAACCCCCAAGGGCAGGCAATCACCGAGCAGCGACAGAACCACACGGAGGTAGCTGGTCCTGAATGGCTCATGGAAGATAACCCTGAGGTCGCATAGGCAGTATTTACAGGGCACCTAGGGAAGGTAGCCTTTGATACATGCAGCCCCAGTACTCTTGTGTTACTTTCAGTTCACACGCCACCAAAACAGAGCAACAACACCACACTGCAGCACTGTGCAAAGAATGGAGCTAGAGCGATCGACCGTCACCAACACAACAGCCTCTTGAACTGAGGAAAGTTGCCGGCGTGGAGGTCTGGGACCTCCCCCCCCATTTCCCTCCTGGGAAGAGGGGGGCTGTGCAGACAGATGCACGGCGGTTGTGGTGACATCATGTTTGTTTCCTTGTTTTTAATTGGGGAGTTCTGCTTGCTGGTTCGGCTTTCGGTTGCAATCATTGACCAGCATTAGTTTGTTTTGAGATTCCTACCTTTCTGGGTGCCTGATCTGCTAGATGGCAAACAAAGACTGCTTCCAATTACACGTGGGTGTCTTTAGGCCATTGCTCCTCGTGCCTCTCTTGAGGGGCCCAGGTCCTAGCTCTGGTCCCCAGTAAGCTTAGAACTCCTTCGATTGACTGTTGCCATGGTCTAATATATACACACCAGCCCGGTATAGATCTGGGGAGCCGAAGGGGCTCTCCACAGAAAAATTAAAAAATTCTGTTTCTTGTGCATGGCAGTGTTGAAGGCTATTAATAGCTGAGCAGCATGAGGGTTAAAGCTTCTGAGTCAACCATTATTGTAGGAATACTGCTCAAGTGGTGCTGTGTATGGTCACTGGGCAAACTAGTTCCATCTTTATCACACGTTTTTATTTAGACTGCCTGCCCCACTAATAAACAAATTTGTTTATTCAGACAAGCCTAAAATGGATAAAAGGCATATTCGGATAAGTGGCGTCCAGAAAGCATGTGGTCATCTGTATATAAATGATTTGGACACAGACTTGAAAAGCAACATGTGCAAATTTGCAGATGATACAAAAGGGAAGGAGGAATAAATTCAAAAGATAAAGTGCTACAAGAGGACCTAGATAGGCTTTTAAAATATGACAAAAAATTGGCAGATGCAGTTTAATGCTAAAAATGTAGGATTATGAGCTTAGGTAATAACAGTACCCAGACATCAGCTAACAAGGAACATTACTTCTATTATGTTAAGCAGTAATTGGTTCCACATAACAACCCTGTTACCGAACCAGTACATCCAAACCCAGGTTTTTCCTAAAAATAAACTCATAGAATTTATACCCATTGTTTCATGTCGTTTGTGACAGGGAATGTAAATAAGATTTTAAATTACCAGCACAAATAGAACTAAAAACAATGGATATAAATTGGATAAATTTAGATTTAAGGAAAGTCTTGGTAAATACTGGTTTGGAAACAGGGTTCTTGATTAATGGAACAAATTACTGGCCGTTTGAGAATATATCATCTCGAAGGAAGGTCAAAAACTACTACAAGTAGCAATATAATATAACAGACATAAGAACCTACCTGGATTGTACCTGGATGGGGTTCTGGGAGTTCTACTCCCTAAGCTCGGCCTGGGGCCAGGGGACAGGCTCGACTTGTGAGAGCCTGGTTATCTTGAGTTATCTTGAGTTATCTTGAGTCCAAGTCCAGAGCCAACAGCTTGGTCCAACAAGCTGTTGCTTGGAGTGGCCCACAGGCCCACATATCCACCACAGCCCAGTTGGTCTGGCACTTCTTGAAGAAAACTATCTAGTTTTCTCTTGAAGATGTCCAAGTTTGTTCTGACAATATTTATTATGCTTGCTGGGAGGATGTTGAGCACCCGAGGACCTCTGATGTCAATACAGTGTTCTCTGATTGTGCCTATGGCATCCCTGCTCTTCACTGGTTCTATTCTTCATTTTCTTCTATATCATTCACTTCAGTATGTTGTTATTTTACTGTGTAGATTTGAGACCTAGCCCTCCAGTATTTTCTATGTAAATTTTATTTGATATCTCTATCATCTCTTTTCTAGTAACATTTGGAGAGCTTAGAGACGTTCCCAATAATTCAGGTGCTTTATCGTGTCATTGTATGCTGTACACGTTCTCTATAGTCTCTCTATTTCAGCAATCTCTCCTGTTCTGAAGGGGAAAGTGAGTATTGAGCAGTACTCAAGATGGGATAGCACAAGTGATTTGAATAGTACAACCACTGTGATGGGATTCCTGGATTTGAAAGTTCTCGTAATCCATCCAATCATATTTCTGGCTGACGCAATATTTGCTTGGTTATGCTCCCTAAACGTTAAGTCGTCAGACATCATTATTCTCAGATCCTTTACATGCTGCTTTCCTACTACTATGGGCAGATTTGATTTGTGCCCATAAGTAGTTCAGCATACCAGGGTTTGGAAACTTCTCTAGCAGAATGTGTGTATCCACATGGTTGCAGGGTTCAGGAGGGAATGTTGGCTCTATCCCAGGTCACACTTCCTGCATGGGGTGGTGGGTCCTGGAGTTTTGTAATCACTGGAGGGTCCATGATTGCCATTTGACTCTGTGGAATTTAGTGCCTGGCACAGAGGTATTCTTTGCTCTGTACTGTACTTTAAGCATTTTCTCAGTACAAACTAGATTCCTCCACTACTTGCCACACATACATATCCAAGTCCCAATTAGTATCCTGGATACACCCCTTTTATATATATTTCCATTGCCTTGTCTTCCCCCAGCTTTGGATCATGTGAACTTGCTTTAGTTACTGCTGTGAGATTCCTCCAGTTCCCAGAGCTTTGTATCATGAGCTATCTATATTCAATCAGGGTTTTCCTACAGTAAGCTTCCTGTGATTCACATCTGCCTTTGGTCTAATCCTGTCCCATTGCTCTGCATTATAGATGGTTCAAGTTGGTCTTTGGGACTGGGGCTTGTTTTGGGTGATTTATCTGGGTGTTGGTCTTTGGCTCTGCTTGAGGTGTCCTTCATCTTCACTGCAATTGTGATGTGCTTTGTATGTTTTGCACATGTGTAGGGGTCCTTTCTGCCCTCTTCTCCCATGGGTTAGCCTGACTTCTTTTCTGTTTCAGAACTGTAGGCCTTCTCTACTGAAATGCTGTTGTGAATTTGCAAAGAGCTCCTGAGGAAGACCTCACGTAAATCAAGAATTTAACGTAATGAAATGACCTTTTCTTGTAGGACCCTCAGTAGCACCCCGTCCCCATCCAGTTTCATTATCTCTGGTGGGGTGATGAGGGATGTTTTGGGCAGCACATGAATGGGAGAAATGACTGGCTGGATCCTAAGGTAGAATGGATGACACCTGGTGGTGGTCAGGTGTAACATGGATAATGTATTTATATTGTGGTAATAATCATTTCCCTTGTTATGTTTGGTTACTTCATTTCTCTCAAGCAGCTGCAAGTTTTGTTGCAATCATGCTTCAGGTGGTTTTCTTTTTTGGTTTTGGGTAGGTCTCCAATACCAAACATAACTTCATCACATCTTGTAAGCCAAATTCTAGTCGTGTCTTCCAAGGGTAGGGCTCAAGAGGCCAAGCATTTTTCCATAAAGCCTACAAGGAGATGTGAAGTTTTATATGGTGAATAATGCTAAAACTCACCATCTTCATACTGCACACACAAACCCACACTGAAATGACTTATGAGGAATAAGTACTTGAAGACAAGTTAAATTGATGTAACTAACCAGTTTTGATAACTTTAGAAGGTACTGGAGGCCCTGTGATGTTGAACCAGAAGTGACAGTAGGCATCCGGTAGACTGGTGGAGCTACTCACTCCCAACACTCGCACACACGGTCGCATATCTAAAAAAACAGAGAAATTTGCAAACATGCATTATCATATCCGTTTCTCAATACCATATAAAAAATAAACACAATCATTACCTTTATTATTCTTTGAATTATATCAGCAAGGTGTGCATTAGTAACCCAAACATCACTGGCCATTGATTAGCAGTACCAACACGCAAGCACCAGGTAGCTACTAAGGAAGCCTTCCCTAAAAAGTACAGTACAGTACCACTGAATACCATTGTTTTATTGACATATGAGAGAGAAAATGTGGATTTTTTTGGGTACTGTACCTGGAACCTAACTAATTTTCCCCTATACAGATTGAAGGTAAGTTGATTCTGTACATGATTTTTCAGGAACATAACCCTTGCACAGCTCAAGGCTATTACTAAAGTTTCATCACCAATGCCTACAAACTTGTTAGTAACTATAATATGTCTCTTATTTTACGTACTTGTTTATGATTTGATTGTACAGTGCCATTATTAATATTCTAATCGTTGAAAATTCTAAATACTGCACATAATCCAATCATTTTGCCATCTAGAAGACCAGCCCAAAATGCTACATGCATTAGTGGCTTTACAAGAATTGGTCTAACCCCTGACTGATAAAAATGACCAGGAGTCTGATAATAGCAGGATTGTGGTGATAATTAGCACCGTGGTGGGAGGAGTAATCTTGGTGGGGAGGAAGGTAGCACTGTTTGCTGACTCTGTGTGGCCACCTTTTACTGTCTGGACTCACTAGACCAGCTTAGTGGTTCGCTATGGTGAACACAAATGTAGGTACTTATATATAACGTGTGTAAATAGTGTAATACTGTAACAGCAAAAGGAGTATGTTGGGAGGAGCCATTTTGGCAAGGGAGGTGGCATCATTTGCATGAATTGTCATGCAGTGTATTGTGGCCACTATGCTGTTTGGGCACCATATCAGCTTAGTTGTACAGTTATGGTGAATAAAACATGTAGATACTTATATATAATGTGTGCATATAGTGTAATAACACCACAAATAGTTGGAGGAGGAATGTTAATGTCTTTGGCCTTGAACGAGTGAGAGAGAGGAGAGGAGAGGGCATTATCTGACTACGTATATAGTTGGTGTGGTGGCAACTCCTCGTTGCTATTTGTCTCACCATACCAATGTTGTGGTTTATTATGGTGACCAAAACATGCAATACTTATATGTAACCTGTGCATATAGTGTAATAACAGCAAAATCATTTGTTTATTACTTTATGAACATAACTGAATCACTAATATGCACACAATTTTGAGTATAGTGATGGTTCACACATTTTAATATATATATATATATATCACACTACACACTACTAAATAATATTACGTACTGCAAAAAACTAAGAAAAAATCAATCAGAGACATTGAAATAATTAGGTAATATCAACTTTGTGGCAACTCCCGCCTGACAGCTCGGGCAGAGCAATCCTCACTCTGATGCTTGCTGTGTCAACGCCTCTCTTTTGCCAGACTTTCCAGCCCTGTTGCGGCCAAAATATGTCATCTACGATTTTTTTTATTCCTTTCCCGTGATCAGGGAACACAAATGAACACTTTTATAAGACGAAAGAATTTTTTGAAATTTTTGTTGTTGTGTATGGCGGTGTTTCAGGTCAAAAAGGCCTTAGTGGTTTAAGGGTTAAGTGTAATTTGTGGAATAAGACAAAGATGCAATGTTCTATGAAAACAACAGCAGAACTAAAAAACACAAATAGAATCAGGAATGAGCCACAGATATATCAGGAAAAACTTCTTTAGAGGACAGATTTGTAATATGGGAAAGGATGGAAGGAGAGGAGGTAAAAGCTAACCCAGTGTACAACCTTTAAAGCAATTGTGATCATAAAACATGAGAGAATTCATTGCATTAATCAACCAACAGTTCAATAGGTGAGGCTTGAAAGCTAGTACTCGACCCTATAATTCAAGTGAATCCATTTGTGCCACTAATTGTTGGCTTACCAGTAAATGTTCTGTTGTCATATATGGCTGAATAGAGGAAGAAGACAGTATCTTCAGAGAGTTTGGCTTCTTGCCAGTATATGTTCTGCCATCTTATACTGCAAAACAAAAATAGTAATATTACATTGTACTCAGGAATTTTCAAGAACTACAACAGCCATTTTCCATAATTAGAAAAAAAGAAGTATATAAAGCATTTGTCTACATTTATCTTAATCTGTATTAGGGTATAGGTGTTGGAAATATCCAACACTTATTTTTTCATTTTAATACAGTATTCTGATAAATGATTCATGTATTAACCATAGTAATTTACTAATATTGCTAACTTGTAGATTATTCACATGAATTCCTTTCCTACTGCGCAATTAATTTACCGAATATTTGTACTTCACGGCGTGGGTGCGTCCAGTCACTTAGCATAGGGAAAGATAATCTCTACATACCAGAGAATTAAATTCTGTTCTCACTACGTATCGGCATTCTTTGCTTAGAATGTAACACTGTAAAAGTGTTTGGGTTAGTTTATTTAAAATATATATAGAGTACACGAGTCACAGACAAGGATCTGAGAGGCGCCAGTTGTCTGCCTGAGATCTCACACCTCTAGCCGTTAATGACCCCAAGTGACCTGAGGTCAGATCATGATAATTTCACCTTGCTTCCGCTAAGCGTATAATTGGAGCCGGGTAGCCTTCAAACATGCCGACGTTTAAGGAGTGGCTTGGTAGTGCCGGAGGCTATCTACTTGTGGGCGGAGTTAGCTACTAGGTTCCCCAATATAAACTCGGAGAGCTATCCAGCATGAAGCATTAACAGACAGAACAGACAGAACGGCAGTCAGGAGAGCAGAGCAGACGGGAGGCTGTCGGCCGGCAGGGCGGGAGTCTCCGTCAACTACAACCCCCCCCCCCCCCTCTCTATTCAACTTAGACTCAGTCCTCGGTGAGTGAACATTAAGGTGACTTGGTCGTGTTTTACAAGTGTTGTGTGATGATCAGGGGCAGTCAAGTTGTAGGGTTCTCGAATTCTTGGATGATGACTCACTTTGCATATTAAACTGGAACATTTTAATTGAATTGCTAAATTATGATACTTCATGTGAAATATAATTATGAATTTATTATTTAAATTGTGTTTAACTTTGTTCCCTAGAGCTTTGAGTTGAGGATTTGAGAAAGCCTCTGTGGTTACTGGGTTCATGATATAAATGAGTACATGTTTGGAGTTGATACATGGTACAGAGGGAACATACTAATAATGAACTCATGATAACATCCTTTGAGAATTTTGTGATACAGGCAAGTTCCATTCCTTGTCTTGTATGTAATGATCATGAATGGATGGTGGCAGCATTTCGTCTTCTACTATCTACTCTTCTACTTCTACTATCTACTCTTCTACTTCTACCTATCTACACCTCTCCCTCCACCCCTCTCTCAACTCTCACTTTCAACTAATGACCCTCCTCGCTCCTCCCACCTCTCTCCCTCTCACCCCAAACCCTCACTAATTACTTCACTATTCATTTCTTTCCTTTCGTTTTCTCTTATACGTTTGTGGCAATGATTCTGTATTCTAGAGTTCTCTCTAGAGTTTCGGGTAACTGATCCAGTTACGGCGCCTTGTAGTCTTAGCACCTAGGTAGTCAAATACCTAGGTTACAAGGTGTTGAACGAGAGAGGTTGCCTTAGGAACTCTGGAGGTGCTCTAGAATAGTTAGCTAACTGGGGACGGGATAACGGACTAGAGAGAGCTGTTTCCCCCGGCCTCGTTAGTTAACTGGGGGGTGGAATAATGGACAAGATAGAGCTATTTCCCCCACCCCCCGTTACAATGTTGGCAGCGGTGTTGAACAATGTTGTAGGTAGTTGGTGTTCTTTTAACATTGTTCAGTCCCACGTGTCGTGTCTTTTGCCGCTCAGGCGCTATCAGGGAGATCTTGACAGGTGTTTTACTTTCGCGATTTAGCGAGTTTTTTCAGGTTAGGAGATGGTGATTCTCTGGTGTTGTGTTTAGTGATTTTGTGAGTTTTGTGGTATTCAGGGAATGTTCACCAGAACTTGCGTGTGTAGTGATTTATGTTAGTAATAAGATTTGGCGATTTTGGGAACTTAGCGGTGTTGGTAGTGCAGGTCAGCTGAGTGTGACAGGTGACCTCGCAAGTCCCAGGGGGACACCCAGCCACCGCTGGTCTCCAGGTCAGTGGGGAGTGGCAGGTGTAGTTCTTAAGTAGAATTTAGTGGTGGTTCTGCTCAGATTATTGCGATCGACTGTTTTACTCCATTTGAACGCAATAACCCGAGGTGTACTGGTCTTGTACAGCATGCTAGGGGGAGCCTTAGTATGTCAGTAGACTTCACGTTGGGGACGCTCGACGTTAGATAGTCTGGTCACAGGGGTGGCAACAGTTTGGGGTTGTTGACCGGCGGAGAAGCTAGGGAGACACTCTGGGTCACGTAGGTGGCTGTAGGTTAAGGGTGGGAGTAATGGTTAATTATGTACTTAAGATTAGGAACGGTACAGTTAAGTTTAGGCTAGTGTTTTGTCTATTAGTGTTGATTTTTTTTGTGACAAGTTAAAGGTAGTGATGACCTTATTCTCTCTTCTCTAACTTTCCTCTGTTACTGTCTTATGTTCCACCAAGTCAATATCATTCAGTGTTAATTGGATTATTTTAAAAATTTAAGTGTAGTTGTTGCCAGGAGGAGAGCGGTATGACTGGACTGTGTAACCCTATACAAACTACAGGGTCACATAACATATCTTGGGAGCACGATATTGTCGCCTTTCTGTTCACCCACAGGTGGGAGCCAGAAGAGAGGAGAGACGCACATACAAAAAGAGGGAGACGGCTGCTGTGTACCACACTCACGGGCGTTAATCACCACCACCACGACCAGCCCACTACCTGGAGGTCACGGCTCCACCACCATCACCACCCCAGGGGACCCCAAGATGCAGCCCTCTCGGTCGGTCAACATTGGTCTACCCATTGGACCCCAAGACGGACCCCACGGACCCCCAGTGGACCCCAGGTCGTTCTGCAGACGACCCCAGACGACCCAGTAAAAATGGAAGAGGAGCAACAACGACTCCAGTCTGTCCCACCAACATCGGTCTACCCAGGATGGACCCCAGGACGGACGGACCCCAATGGACCCCAGGTCGCTTGTCAAAGACCCATGGGAGGAGGGAGAGAGAGAGAAGAGAGAAGAGAGAAGAAGAAGAGAGAAGAAAGAAGAAAGAAGAAGAAGAAAGAAAGAGAGAGAAAGAAGAAGAAGAAGAAGATAAGACAAGCTGAGTGAGACACGATGCCTAGTGTCCCTTGCTGGTATCAGCATCATTGCATGGAGCGTAATTGCAAGACAGGATCGTTTGCCTTAACTGGCCGCCCCTCCTACAAGCATGTTGCTCTGTTGAGTGATTCTTCCTGTGTCATGCGGACTTGATGTGGCTGTCAGAAGTAGCTCTCTGAAGGAGGCGTGCTGGAGCAACAGGGAGGAAGAAGAGTAGGATGGGATTTCTACTGTTGGCAACTATATGAAGGTCTCGAAACTTGTAGTCCCTATAGCTGTGAAGAACCCCAATATACGTCTCTCATGGTGACTGACGTAGGGCCAATTACAGATCAGCTGGGACAACCGAATTCCACGGTCCTGTGCGCAGTTCAAGTAGTAACGGCTTTCGGGTTGACCAAGGGTTGTTGTGCGTTAACGACGGAGAAGCGACGGAGGCAGTTGTGTTGAAGAAATGTGGTACAGGATTATCTACAAGACCAAGCAGTGACGTCGCCCAGCCAGAGACAATGGACGTCTGTCTACATATTTCATTTTTTAGAGTAGGATGATGTATATTTGTTTAGCTAGGATGTATTTTTTTTTCGTTAATAAAGTTGTCGCACACAGCTAGCTTGCTTTAGCAGTGTTGCAAAAACTTTATTTCGGGGAGAAGGGGAGATGTAACACTGTAAAAGTGTTTGGGTTAGTTTATTTAAAATATATATAGAGTACACGAGTCACAGACAAGGATCTGAGAGGCGCCAGTTGTCTGCCTGAGATCTCACACCTCTAACCGTTAATGACCCCAAGTGACCTGAGGTCAGATCATGATAATTTCACCTTGCTTCCGCTAAGCGTATAATTGGAGCCGGGTAGCCTTCAAACATGCCGACGTTTAAGGAGTGGCTTGGTAGTGCCGGAGGCTATCTACTTGTGGGCGGAGTTAGCTACTAGGTTCCCCAATATAAACTCGGAGAGCTATCCAGCATGAAGCATTAGACAGACAGAACGGCAGTCAGGAGAGCAGAGCAGACGGGAGGCTGTCGGCCGGCAGGGCGGGAGTCTCCGTCAACTACAAACCCCCCCCCCCCCCCCCCTCTCTATTCAACTTAGACTCAGTCCTCGGTGAGTGAACATTAAGGTGACTTGGTCGTGTTTTACAAGTGTTGTGTGATGATCAGGGGCAGTCAAGTTGTAGGGTTCTCGAATTCTTGGATGATGACTCACTTTGCATATTAAACTGGAACATTTTAATTGAATTGCTAAATTATGATACTTCATGTGAAATATAATTATGAATTTATTATTTAAATGATGTTTAACTTTGTTCCCTAGAGCTTTGAGTTGAGGATTTGAGAAAGCCTCTGTGGTTACTGGGTTCATGATATTAATGAGTACATGTTTGGAGTTGATACATGGTACAGAGGGAACATACTAATAATGAACTCATGATAACATCCTTTGAGAATTTTGTGATACAGGCAAGTTCCATTCCTTGTCTTGTATGTAATGATCATGAATGGATGGTGGCAGCATTTCGTCTTCTACTATCTACTCTTCTACTTCTACTATCTACTCTTCTACTTCTACCTATCTACACCTCTCCCTCCACCCCTCTCTAAACTCTCACTTTCAACTAATGACCCTCCTCGCTCCTCCCACCTCCCTACCTCTCACCCCAAACCCTCACTAATTACTTCACTATTCATTTCTTTCCTTTCGTTTTCTCTTATACGTTTGTGGCAATGATTCTGTATTCTAGAGTTCTCTCTAGAGTTTCGGGTAGCTGATCCAGTTACGGCGCCTTGTAGTCTTAGCACCTAGGTAGTCAAATACCTAGGTTACAAGGTGTTGAACGAGAGAGGTTGCCTTAGGAACTCTGGAGGTGCTCTAGAATAGTTAGCTAACTGGGGACGGGATAACGGACTAGAGAGAGCTGTTTCCCCCGGCCTCGTTAGTTAACTGGGGGGTGGAATAATGGACAAGATAGAGCTATTTCCCCCACCCCCCGTTACATCCTCACGAAATAGAGCAATCATTAAGAGAAGAATTCTTCGTTTTACTTCTACGTGCCTTGGCGCATGCGTCACCGAGACTGGGAAGAGGGAGGAGAGAAGAGCCAAGATTACATCAAGAGGCGGCCATCTTACCGATCAAGATTGCATGGAACACGTAATTTGGTGGACCATACAGAGGACATTCAGGCAGCAGCGAGTGTCTGGGTACCGCAGTGACTCCAATAACAATCAGACGATCGTTTCGGCGAGGACCAAACTGGTTAAGTCACATAAGTTTGATTCTTATTGAGCTCTTTATGACAAACGTGTAAACTTGCTCGTCGTTATGACGCGAGCCTCCTTTTAACAAAAAAGTAAGCCCCATTCTAGATTCCACTATCCATTTATTTAGAAATAGAGAATAATCTCGAATTAGACAGTTTTTACTAATCTATTGTAATTTCAGCTTGTGCCAGAGCAACCCGAGAGAAGATAAGCCTTTTCTTCCACATGTGATCCAGGACCGCATGCTCAGACAAGCCTAGTGACGCGTTCCCTTTGATTCACACTCCTATCTCGCCCACACAGCTAAGCTGTCTTTATTAGTCTGTAGTACTAACCATTATTACATTATTGAACTTCCAAACAAGATTTTTTTTCATTGAATAACCATTTATTAGCCATTAAATATTTACAGGGATTCTTTATATCTTAATGTCGTAATGAAATTAATTCACATTTATTTCTTTGCATAATATAATTTCATATCTATGCTCTACTCTGATGAAGAACCAACATCAGATGATTGCGCTAGTAACTCAGTATTTTCTTAACGCCTGTACCCCCCATTTGTGTGAGCGAGTTTGACTCTTAACTTAATTATAATATACAGTCTTAGAATCCATAGGCCTTAGTTTGTGGATTTAATTACAATATATTTGCTCCTTTTAGTTTTCCACTTTTTCACAAACAGTGGTGGTCCTTCACAGCTATCGAATACAGTGCATTTTATTTTGATTAATATATTCGAGTCAAATTTTCCCACAAGAGGGGTATGGTCTCATGCCTTTTTTTCTCCTTTATAGAGTAGTGCTATCTCCACTGTTTTAAGCATGTTGGGAATAACACCAATATCTGGGTAGCATCTCCAAATAATATTAAGGGTCTGTGATAAGTGTATTCACAATTCTTGAGGACTATGGAATTCCAGGAATCAGGAATTGTACTGTATCCCTAAGTTTTTTCACTCATTTCTTTGTTATCTGTTTAAGTTCCATCTCCCTTGCACAGGATAGCCCAATGCTAGATGTAGTTTTTGTTCAAGATTCTGCATTGGAGAAAAATATTTTGGATTCTTCTCTATTTCTCTGATAGCCTTTTGTTCTCTTTGCCTCTCCTGTATTTTATATGATTCTTAAAGCTTTAACTCAATTGTTTCTATTTCTCTACATTGTATTTCTTATCTTTCTTGGGATAGGGAGGGGGCATTTAAGTTCTTCTACATTATGTTTGCTTAGCCTTTAGAGGCAACACCATTCTCATTCCAATATGCATAATTTTCTCATTTTTTAACGGTATTTGACCTGAGCATACTACTAGAGCTAATAAGCCTATTTTGTTGAGGCATTGATTTAGGTTTCCATTTTATAGTTGTTCTTCCCAGCTTATTTCCACTGTGCCACAGGGACTGCCATGGTGCTGTGGTAAAGCACTCACCTGGCACTCTGCCAGCGCTTTGGCCTGAGTTCGTATCCCTGGCCGGGGAGAATTAACTGGGTGCCAATCCTTAACTGTGGCCTCTGTTCACCCAACAGTGAATGGGTACCTGCTAAGTGATTTGGTGGGTCATATTCCAAGATAAAATTTGGATTAAGGACCTGCCTGAAATGCTATGCGTGATAGTAGCTGTACAAGAATGCAACAACTCTTGTAGTTCTGTGACGTCTTGGTTTATTAGTTCCCAGTTAATCTGTTTATTATTACAATTCAATTTTCTGCATTCTCCTCCTCTAGGATTTGGGACTGGCTGCACAGGGATACTGCCTATGCTTGTGTCTGAACTTCATTTAGGCTGTGATCCGAGTAACATGTATTATGAATTATTATTTGTAATCATTATGTTCCCGATCAATTCGTTTTTTCGTGAAAAGGTTTAGCGTGTTTTTTTTCAAGTTGGTTCTAATTTAATCTGTTACATCCATAACAGATCCCTTGTGTGTGATTATTCATTTAGACTAATTCCTGGGATTCTCTTAGACAACTGTATTTACCATATTCTTCCATTTTAGGTGCCATAGGCTGAGGTCACCAAGCAAGATTATGGTTGGTGCTGGGTTTGCAAGGCTTTCTCATCAGTATTTTATTTTCATTAGTTGGTCTTTCAACTGCTGAGGATTTTCCTCTGGTGACTTATACAATATACAAGGACAATAACCACATTTAGACTATTTTGATTATCAGAACTTAAACATTTGTGGTGTTTAGCAACTCAGTACAGATGAATGTCTTTGATAATCAAGGACATGTACTAGTATGCCTGTGTCCTGCTACCCTCCCTGCAGACACGATGGCTGATGCCACTGAAATCGTCAACAAAACCTCACACCCCACTACCCTCCTAAAACCTAAGAGGCTAGTAATCTACAGCATTACCAATCTCTTCAAAAACAAATTTTGTTGCCAATGACCAACCAAGCTTCTACCCCACACGAGGAATTGCAACCCCCATTATCCTGCAGATGTTCTGCCACCACCTGTCCATCTGGTGGTGTTCTTCACTGAATGATGACATCACTGGAAAAGATGGGAGCCATTGCTAGCTGCATCTACAAAACACAGTCTCATGTAAACACTAGGAACATCATCACAACTCCCAACAGGGCCTTCTGCACAAGCCAGATGCTGCCATTCAGTCACAAGGGCATCAACCAATAACATGCTTTTACCAACATATTTGTGGCCAAACCCAGAAATATCATGCACCAGTGGGGATTGCTAACAACCAGAATTTTTTACCTTGTCAAATCACACTCATGTATATCTCTGATTACCCTTCCAAATACCTTTTTCTGATTGACACGTGTAGATGTTAGTATTTTGCTGCCTCCCATGGATAAACCCAATTGTACTCGTAACCTGTCCCCGATTGCCTACATGTATGTACTCAAAACCCATGCCCAACTCTCAACTTCCATACCTCCAGCAGACCTTCTTTGCCAATTTCGGGACACTATCCTCGGGTGTGAATTTCTCAGTCACCAACTCATGGCAATAATTCTTTTACTATTTATTTGGAGTTATCATGTAGAATTATATCGCTTCTAATTTTTGTTAGCACCTGGGTGTTTATGTATTTAATTATTCTAGAAGTGAATGATTAGTATTTATTTGTAGTATGCAATCATTCCATATTACATGAACTGAATAACTTCAACAGTTTAGGTTTAATGCAAATCTTGTGTTACAATCATATCAGTGGTTCAAAGCTTAATATATCTAAAACAAAATTGTATTCATGCATATCTTACTTGAAAAGGCTTGGCATTAAATTACATCTTTTATTGTTTCTCATATCCATGACAAGCTTCATAGGAAAGTTTGGGTGATGTTGTACAAGATTTTCCTTTGTTGTCTGATTTAGAAATGATATTACTTCCTCCATCTGCTCAGCTACACTGACTTGTGACGATAAATCATGTATTGCTTCACACCGACAGTCAGGTAAATTCTCATTTTTTTTACATCCAACATTCATAATGATGAATATGATACAGCAGACTGAAATAATCCCATTCAAGGCTACACTTAGGAGCAGAAATCTGAAGAGAAAAGCAAATGTAGCATTAATACACATTCAATAAATAAATAATATATAAAATATATATATATATATATATATATATATATATGTCGTACCTAGTAGCCAGAACTCACTTCTCAGCCTACTATTCAAGGCCCGATTTGCCTAATAAGCCAAGTTTTCCTGAATTAATATATTTACTATAATTTTTTTCTTATGAAATGATAAAGCAACCCTTTTCTCTATGTATGAGGTCAATTTTTTTTATTGGAGTTAAAATTAACGTAGATATATGACCGAACCTAACCAACCCTTCCTAACCTAACCTAACCTATATTTATAGGTAAGGTTAGGTTAGGTAGCCAAAAAAAGCTAGGTTAGGTAGGTTAGGTAGACGAAAAAACATTAATTCATGAAAACTTGGCTTATTAGGCAAATCGGGCCTTGAATAGTAGGCTATAGAAGTGCGTTCTGGCTATATATATACGATATATATATATATATATATATATATATATATATATATATATATATATATATATATATATATATATATATATATATATATATATATATATATATATATATATATATATATATATATATATATATATATATATATATATATATATATATATATATATATATATATATATATATATATATATATATATATATATATATATATATATATATATATATATATATATATATATATATATATATATATATATATATATATATATATATATATATATATATATATATATATATATATATATATATATATATATATATATATATATATATATATATATATATATATATATATATATATATATATATATATATATATATATATATATATATATATATATATATATATATATATATATATATATATATATATATATATATATATATATATATATATATATATATATATATATATATATATATATATATATATATATATATATATATATATATATATATATATATATATATATATATATATATATATATATATATATATATATATATATATATATATATATATATATATATATATATATATATTATAATCAACTTGCACCAATAAAGGTTGGAATAAAATACTCAAATATGGCTCCTCTGCCTATTTTACTTGACAACTTCTAACTGAAGGAGTAAATAAATATATACAGTATGTGGGGAAAACATGCACTGAAGTTCCAGAAAGAACCTAGTGGCAAACTAATTATGATTACAAAAGACCATAAAGCAGCAAGTTTCTTGTTCCAGCACCTTAGTGATAGTTCAAAGGGAAAATGATGGCTGAATCTTGAGCAGGCATCCAGCCCCAGAGGAGCTTGTGGTGGTGTTTGATTTGTAATAGGTGTCAAGTTGGTTTGAGATATCCATTAATTAATCTTTTTGGTTTGTTTTTCATTTTACTTGTAACGGTAACTATCTATAATTATCTACACTGTTAGTGTTATACAGTTTGTAACCATGTGCAATAAAGTAATCATAAACATACAGTAATTATAAAAAAACCAGCATTGAATGTAATGAAACACCATTTTCTGGGTGAGACTTGGAGGCTCCTCAGAGCTATCCAGGCCGATATTAACTATTAGCTTTCTGGCATCAGTTAAAGTGCTAGGAGTTCTTGCCTACCTGAGACCACAAGCCAGAACCTGGCCCCCTCAGAGAGGCACGAGGAGCAATTACCTATACAGTTCATAGGCTGGATGTCAAAAACACGCGAAAACACCGCCAACCGGGAGGGAGGGAGGGAGGGATGCCGGGAAGCCTCCGGGTCTCACCCAGAAAATGGCGTTTCATTACACTTAACACTGGTTTTCTGTGGAGAGCTCTGTTGGCTCCCTGGAGCTAACTACCCAAAGACAAAGAAAAACACGGATTTACCCAGGAGGCATTCAGTCCTCACTCATCAACACGAAGTCGAGACAACTGGCTGCAACCGCTGCCCAATGCAATGCAGATCCAGGAACATTGACAAGGTAACGTGCGGCCAGGACCCTGTTTGACCTCCAAAAACCCCGTGCCCGAATGTCAACCCAAAACATGTTGCCAAAGACAGCAGCCAAAGGAGCAAACTTACAAACATCGTGGTCACAAGGATAGACTGCAGGCTGGCTAGACTTAATAATCCTGTGGACGACCTGGGAAACCCGAGCCTGGGAACAGGGAAGGAGGGAAACCGGGTCAACCCAAAGCGCATCCATAGCCGCCGAAGCCGTGGCAAGCAAATAACAGCGAAGAGCCACAACCGAATACAACACATGATGCATCCCCGGTCTGACCAACCAAGCATCAACAACCCAAGAACCCCTCTGGAAAGTAGCAGTCTCATTCTTCGCCAGAAAAAAAGGAGACGGCTGCAAACGAACAAACCTACCACCAAGACTGAAGAAGCAGAAAACCCTGGGCCGGAAGAGAGCATGAAGCTCCCTGACCCAACCCCCAGAGGTCAATGCCAACAGGAAAGGGGCCTTAGTAAAACAATCCTGAATCAAAGGGGCCACTACAAACTGAGGAGAAGAGAGAAGAGAGAGCACCCGGTCCAAAGACCAAGATGGCTCAGGAGGCACATGAGCAAGCCAGAGGTGAAATGACGCACAAGACAGCTTGCGGAATGAGGCAGAAGTAACATCAATACCGAACTCAAGCTGGAGCAGCTCTGCCAGCGCTGCACGATATGAGGCGACAGTATTCGGCATAAGATGATGGTCTTGGAATAACCAGGAAAGGAAGGTCAAGACAACCCTATCAGAGATCGAAGTACACCTACACAGTGATAGGAAAAACCGGAAGGACTGCCAGGAAACTTCATACTGCTGCCGAGACGAAGCACACAGGTGAGAGACCAACAACGATATCACCTGTGCCCCATTCAAGTGATAATAGACTAGTCAGAAAGTCCATATGTGAAGACTTGAGAAGAACAACAAACTAGCCTTGTATCAAGCTGGGTCGATCTGCTGAAAGAGGTGAAACCACGGGAAGACCCTTGGGTTCGAACACCGAGCAAGCAGCACCTGAAACCAATGCTGGGCCGGCCACCAAGGAGCCAGAAGGACAACTCTCCCCTGGTAAGTCTCCAAGCGAGCCAGGACTTTGAGTAACAGCTGGACTGGGAGAAAAATTTACAGGTAACCCCAACTCGTCCAGTCCTGCCTGAAAGTGTCGACCCCGATGGCCTCGCAGTCGGGGAAAGGGCTCCACATATACCGGGAGATGCCTCGACCAAGCCGACGTGAAGAGATCCACTTCTGGAGGCCTGAACATCTGGAAGAGCCAACTGAAAGAGTTGGCGTCGACCGTCCATTCCGTGGACAGGGGAATGAACTGTGACAGGCCGTGTGCCAAAACACTGGACACCCCAAATGTGAACTGCCAGGAGAGCCAAACCCTGAGAATTCAGAGTCACCCGAAGCGACCAGCCCCAAAGAGCCAAGGACCGCATGAAACCTCCCCCTCGGTTCATGCAACAAACCACCAATGAACAGTCAGAATGGAGCCGGATCGCCAATCCAGCCTGGTGAGCACTGGTCACAAAGCCCCAACCACGAGATGACATGTCCATGAACACATCAAGCGAGGGCTCGGGTAGGTGCCAAGGCACAGAACTCCGAAAAACCCAAAGAGGAAGCCAGTGACGCAAAAACCGATGCAAAGACCCTCAGAAGCCAAACCCAGCGAGAGAGGCGGATCTTATCCTTTGGTTCTGGTCCTCGAAGGAACCAGAAAAGCCACTGAAGCTACGCCCGACCTGGCGGGTAGATCATCATGGCAAAGTTCATGCTCCCGCACAAACTCCTCGAGCAACCGCCGCATGACATGGGAGCTGCATCTGACCTCGGGAACAGATGAAGGCGGGAACACAGGCGAAGCAGAGCTGCCAGAGGAAGAAACAAGGAAGCGACTGAGTATCCCACACAAGACCCAGCCAAGACCGAACCTGAGAGGGAACCAGATGGGACTTCCGCCAGTGCACCAGGAACCCGAACCCGGCGAGCTGGGAAAGAACCAAATCCCTGGCGAGCAGGGCACACGGACTGGCTGGGAGCCCAAACCAGCTAGTCGTCGAGGTAGGCCAGAACCCAAACACCTAACAGATGCAGGCGGGGTACCATGACCTGAGTAAGGCACATAACGCGAGGCACCAGATTCAAGCAACGAATGGAAGGCAACGAAAGCAGTAACCTTGACGCCCACAACAAAACCGAGCCAATCCCTGAACCTCGGATGAATCAGGATGTGCCAATATGCATCTGAGGTCCAGGGACACCACCAAAGCGCCCGGCTCCAACAAAAGACGAGCCTGGTACAGAGTAATTATCCGAAAGGAGGGGGCAACAAACCCACGGGTTCAGACGGGACACGTTCAGAATGAATTGGAGGTCTGCGCAGTCCCCTTTTAGGACCGGAAACAGGCAGGAAATCCAGCTGAGAGACGAGGTCGCTTCGGCCACGCCCAAGCGAACCTACTCCGAAATGACTCGACAGAGCACAGGAGAAGTGGCCAGCCCTGCCAGCCCCGAATCCCCCTGAAGGAGGAGGAGCCACCCAACACCACCACAGGCCACACGAAAAGACCCGAAAGGCCCACAAATTGTGAGATCAGGTGCGAGCAAACAAGAGCAGGGCACAGGGCCATCCTTGCGCCGACCAGGAAAAGACGGAACTGAAGGCTGCGCCTACCCCGAATCTGGCACCACTGGCCTACCACGACAAGAAGAACCCCAAGCCCTGGCACGACCCTTCCGGGAAGGCCCCCACGAGCCCCCCGGAGAACTAACAAGTCTGACATAGGACGGCAAATAGTTGAAGTTGCCTGCAGATACTGCACAACCACAGACTCTGCAAACAGCAATGGCCAAAAAGGGGAAGATAATCTAAGAGCCAGAGCCCAAGCAGATTCCAAGGAAGAAGCAAGCACCGCCTGCCGACACGCAAGTCGAGAAGCAAAAAACCGCGAAACTGCATCCCGCAGGAGTGTCGTGAACA